GATTTAATTTTAATCTAAGTTGTGTATAATAAAATATCATTGTTATACTCATTATATTTATWACAATTTACAACTACCWATGGTATGCTAATATTATAGTTTCTAAAACCTTGTGGTTTCACATATAACATTCATATCACATATCCCTGTTAGGATTAAATATTTCAACGCTCAAACAAATAATTTTTTAATGAATGAATTTATATTTATGATTTTTGTAAGATACTGAATTCAAAGCTTATCTCCCAAGGTCTCACACGGATTTTCATTTTCTTCCCAGATGATTGCACACCTTTTTGCATTAAAGACAGCGCAGGTAGGTACGTCTATCTGTAGTATATGGYGATACGTTATTTATTATAAATTATAATATATAATTTATAATAGCTGGGACAGCAGGTTATATTTGGGTWGATAAAAATCAATTTATAGAAGTTTATAATAATTGTTTTTTTCATCAACTTTTAACAAATTACCAAAATATTATAATAATATTCGATGTGGGAACTTGAGAAAGTTAGAATAAAATTAATTGGCAAATAATATAAAATAATTAACTTTGCGGTATATTGCGTTGTATGCATAAGGCGGTGAAGACGTTAAACATATTATTATTTGGTAGCTATGCGAAAACAAATTATGTATGAAATATTTGATAAGTATTATTGAKAGGGAAAAGGTTATACCTACCATATGCTATGCAAATTAATAAAATGTTATTTGTTTTTACTCAATTACACCAAACCGAATCTAATTATCGAACATATACGAACTCGTTTTATTGAACAAATTAACGTCAAATAAACGTGCTTTTAGCAAATATTTTAGTAAACCATGTAACATCTAACTGATTGTATAGGTAAATAAGTGTATTTAATTCTATAATATACTTGTATACAGTTGTATATATTTAAATACAAATACCTAATTAAGYAAATAGCTTTATTATGTTAAGTCAAAACCAACACTCATCTTGATTTTATAATTCTCTAATTACAAAATTGTATGATTCTTTTTTTTTTTTAGTTTATAAGTAATTTTATAAACGCGAGACAACACAATCTAGAGTGTATTTCAAAATTAGACAATTAATCTATAAAGCTATTTAGACTGTAGAGCAATATATTCTTGTCACCTCTAATAATATAAATTACCTAGGTATCATTATTCTTGACCAATGACCATACATTTTTTTTAAGTAATACAATATTTAGCTAAAATATCTTATCTTGGTGTACAACTAAAAAAAAATCAACTTTAAAAGTGCAATTTATATTTCTAGGTTAAAAAGAAATTAATAGCTGAATTTGATTTATTCGATATTAACCTTGTTAGCCTTTTTTCGCAACTATGTGGGTTTTTAAAATTGAAGTTTGAATAAGTTGCAATATTCATACAGTATTATATACATGCCATAATACCGTATTCCTATACATGTTCGACTACCTAAATATAAAAAATATAACTAATCTAACCAGACGCGCCTGTTTAATGCCATCGGGATCAGAACTGTTAAAGTTCGGTTACTCACATATAAATCAATCCGATCCCAGAGCGAAA